GTTAAAGAGAGCTTCTTTCTGCCCGCTCCCTCTGGCTTCTACTGGCTCCTGTTTGATTCTGCATATTCATAAAATGCTCGGCAGGGCCCATCACAGTTCAAACGTGAATTTTGGCTTTGACGTCTTCAATAGGCCTGTTCTTCTCCCCTCGGCAGTTATTCACCGAGCTCACAAGACACTCCTACTGGGCATTTGGAGCTGCGAGCTGGCAGAACAAGGTGCCGATTTCAAAGGCTGGTTAACAACCTTTGCTGGGGGACCAGAGGGACAGGGTTTGCCAGATGGGCTCTGCCCACTTCTGATTAGCCTGGGGATGACAAGCCTTCCCCCATCCAAGTTTGCAAAATAGCTTTATATTTTACTTTCTTTCTTCTTCGTATCCCTTGGGAATTTCTATTAAGCCGAAAGGCAGTTGTATAATCCAAAAAAGAAAAGAAGAATGAAGAAAAATGCCTGCCAGTAGTTTATTGACAAAGCTTCCTTCTTAGCTCTTGACATCATCTACTTCCCTTTATCCGTGTTGTCACCACCTTAGTTCAAGCTACTTTGACTTTTCATTTCATGACCTCCTCGCTGGTCTCCCTGCCTCTGCTGTAGCCCAGTGTCCTCTCTACCATGTGACCAGAGCAACATTTCTAGAACACGATGCCAATCTATTTTCCTTCCTTTATTCAGTAAATAACGAGTTCGGCATCTGCTGTGTATCAGGCAAGGTGCTGGCTCTAGGGAGAAAATGGTGAGCAAAGCAAAGCCCTGGCCTCAGCGAGCTTACAGTCCAGTGGAGGAGATTGGTTTTGTCATAGAACCAAGCAATCAAATGTGAAACTGCAAGGGTAGGGCGCATGAAGGTTGAGGATGTGAACCTCTGGGAGCATATAATAGAAGGGGGTGGGAGATCAGGGAAGGCTTCCCTGAGGAGGCGATGGTTGACAGCCATCTGGAAGACCCTTGGGAGTTAACTAGATGCAGGATGGGTTTGAGACAGGAGACAAAAGTAGAGCATTCCAGCAAAGGAGACACACTTGTACAAAAGCCCTATGGTGGGAGGGAGAATGACAAACTCTGAGGAGTCATACTTGCCCATCTCCTGCTCCATTCGATCTTAAGAAAAAGACAGAAATCTCTACCCTGACTTCAAGCCCGGCGTGATCTAGTCCCTGACTGCCCCATCTCCCTCCAATCCTCGTCCACCTCTCACGCTTCTACCTTCCAGCGAGGCCAAACTCAACCCCAAACCCGTCTGTGGGACTCCTTATAGGGAAAAGAAAGGAATCTCATTTGTGGGGCATCTAGCCAGATATCATGGTAGATACACTGTATTTATACACACACACACGTACACACCACCGTAATCACAATATTTCCTATGAGGTAAAGGCTGGCGTTGCCTGCATTTCACAGGAGGGGAAGTTGAGGCTTGGTGTGGATAAGCAACAAGACAAAGACCACACAGACTCGGGGGTGGAACTGGGATTCAAACCCCAGTGGTCTGACGCCAGAACCACAACGAACGTGCTATACTCCTTCCCTCCCACATGGTGGAAGTTGGGAAGAGGAGATGGGTGAGGTCTTGGGACGGCCATCAGCGAGACCCGATACAGTTCTCTCATACCAAGCCCATTCGATTGGTAGTGGCTGCCTAGAATGCAGTGTCGAAAAGGGCTGTGAAGCCACATCCCGGCCTCCAGGACAGTTCACTGTGATTGATTAGCAATGTCTGCCATGAGCACAGGACAGGGAAGGGTCAGCACAAGTGCTGGGTATTTTCTGTCCCAGGACCAGCTGAATATATCCTCTGGATTCCTCTCTCCAGTCCAAATTTGGGAAGTGTGGACCAGAGTTCCTTCTCCATAAGACTTTCCTCGGCATTCTCCAGCTGCTCCAGGGCTCTATTCCAGAGATCTCAACTCAACTGCAGATAAAGTTAGAGATTTGGCTTAAACCAGGTCAGCTGACTCTCCTCCCACATTCTCCCTACCAGACTTTTCCTCCCAGGACTCCCATAGCCCTACCTTGTGAGAGAACGAAACCCATCTCTCTCCACCATGCGTGAAAACCATTAACTAGTTGGCTTCATCTTCGTTTCCACCAACAAAAGGCAAACACAGAAAAGCAAGAACTGGATGATCTCAGACCCCAGGACCAGCCTTCAACCACCTGGATGCCTCCCATTTTTGGAGACCCTTGCTGATTTCCCAGTGCCCCTGCAGAAACTTCATTTGCACTTGGAAAACCCAGGGCTGATTTCCCTATCAGTCTGTTACAGTCATGCCTATGGGGCTGGCAGGGTCCGGAGACATGCCCAAATCTGCTGGTAGAGTTTCAGCAATTTTGACCACATCATCCATGTCCAAGAGCACAGAGAGAAGTGGCTGCTCATTTTCATCCCGCAGAGCTCCCGAAGCTTGGAGCTTTCTTGAGGAAATGGAAATATGCATGCCCCTTTCATCCCTGCCCGTCCTCTGCTCTGATGCTCACTTTACGAAGAACACTTTTGATGACTGGAAATGCGTTCAGCTGTGTCTGCCTTTTTTTAAAGGCAGCCTTTAAAATCATCTCTCTGGGTCTAATCATCTTTTATAGGGAGACTAATACGTCGCCTCATTTCTCCGTGGTTTTCGGGTTTAGCAGCCATCTTCTCTCTCTGTGATAATCTGACCACATTGTGGAACACGCAAGGACAGAGGCTTTGTGGGACCCCGGGGTGCTTTCCATGACAGAGGCAGAGAAGGAAATGGCTGGGTCCTTCCCAAGCTTTCCCGAAGCTTTAACTGCCGTCAGAGTCAGACCCGTCTGGCTCATTTGTATTCTCTTTTCTCAACTCCCCCATTTTAAGGACAACTCTACAGTAAATAGAAAACAAAAGTGGCTTTGTCTGCTTTGTTTTGAAAGGCTGTCGAAATAGAGGTTTAGAGCACAGAGTCTGGAGTCAAACTTTCTGGGTTTGAATCACGGCTGCATCCCCTACTAACTGCATGATGGCAAGTTACACAACCTCTCTGGCTTCAGTTTTCTCGTCTGTAAAATGTGGTTAACAGTAGTGGCTTTCCTGGAGGTATGTTATGAGGGTGAAACCAACTGGTATGTATTTGTGCTTAGAACAGTGCTGGAACATAGTAAGCAGTACATAAGTGTTTGTTAAATAAAGTTAATAATTTGGTCAAAAATCTCTGCCCTAACACCTCTTTTCCATCCCTACTAACAGCTGACCACGTCTCAGAAAGGTATATGGATGCATGAGGACAGACAGACACTCAAAAGGCAGCTGCCACGGACTTCCCAAAGGAGATGGAATTTCTTGCTGCATCGTAGCAAAGGAACAAGGTCTCAGGAAACCCTCAGATTTTTCTTTTCCTTCTTTTATTGTTCCCCACCCAGTGTCTAAAAGGTTTTAACGGTTGTCAATATTTTAAGAGAAGGCTGTTTCAAGTGAAAATATAATTTTATGGCTTCTCTTGAAATAATGAGAAGGTCTGCCCCACTGGGCTCACCTCCCACACAGCTGCCATCTGATGGATGGGCAGGCACCGCACAGCTCTCGGCAGCCCCCTGTCTGCCTGCCATGGTCATTTGCATCACTGCCTGGCCCTGGTAGTTATTTGAGTTTGTCACCCCCACCCTACATCCTGGGTGTGATTCTCCGGGAAGGAGGCACCCAAAGTTCAGACACACGTGGATGGATCTGAGCAAACCACCTTCTGTTTCTGGCCTGAGCATGGGGCCAAAAGTCCCTTGGGGGGCAAATCTCCCTCTGTTGAGAACCACTGGTCCAGAGGTCATCAGGGACTATTTGTGGAGAAAGAAGGGTATTAGTGTCCTTTGATTTGTGAGAGTTTTAGAAGAGAACACTGCCTCCCCCTTGGGGTATGAGCCCCAGGGAAAAGATTAAGGAGAGTGGTCAAGAGTTTGTAAGGGGCAGATGACCAGATCACTGTGCCACCCATCACCAGCGCAACTGTGCCTGAGACCAGATGTACTGAATACTAAGTTGTGATGATCTCAGCCAGAATTAGTGTCAACAGATCATCCAAGGAAGATGATCCACGTGGACCACAGGGAGCCCTGAATTAGCTGTAGACCAACTTTGTCCATTGGACTGCGGCCCGGTGTTCCACGGCGACACCATGCGGCAATGAGGAGGAATGGCAGTAGCACACCACTGTGGCTTCAGGTTCTCCCTGGTAAATACCTCTCCCTTAGACAGTGTTAAGTCCTCGATTTTCTTGGCCAACTCATGGAGGGGTGCGGGGTGGAGGCCCTAAAATAGATATTGAACTTCCTGCTAATCTCCCATGGGGGGGGGGGCTCTCACCATTTTGATTTTAAGTTAAAAAAATACAACAACACTGCCATATTTGCACCCTCCATTTGTGACAAAGATCATCTCAGTTACTCGAGGTTTTGGTGTGAATTAGGAGGTGCTACATTATGTAGGAGAATAACTCCGCTGGCGATCAGGACCCCAGGTCTACCACTTATTAGCTATGGGGTCTTAGGGGAGTGACTTGACCCCCCCAGGCTCTCAATGTCTTGAGCAGGTCCGTGATCTTGAGTACTTCTGTGTCTACACCCTCTCCTCGTAAGTGGAGCTTTCATCTAACTTAACGTGTCATTTGGAGCTTCATGGTTTGGTCTTTCATATTTCACTTCCCCTTTGGCACCTTAACGTCCATTTGCCTTTCACACATTCCCAGGTACCCACAAGCTCACAAAGTCTTGGAAGACACATCCCTGTGATTGTCATGTTAAGAGTAATTACTCTTAAACAACTAAAAGTGAGGGAGATGAATAAGGTCAGTGTCTCTGACATCAAGTGGTCAAAGGTGGAAAGATGCCTATATAGCACAAAAAGATAGACAACAAATCCCAAATGTCAAAGATCCTCTACAGGTCACTGCTCCAAATTGTGATGGCTGAATCAGGATCGTAGTTTGTTTTAGGTTTAAATTAGTAACCAACATTTTGGAGATATTGTAACAGGGCCCCTGAGTGATTCATTATTTTGTAAGACTAGAACCATAAATTTTTACATGCTGGAAGAGCAGCTTGAAGATCATATAGAAAGAATGGAAAATACGTGGCACCTGCATAGCTTCTCTCCATCCTGAAGCCATGACAGACATCATTAATTGATCATGGTGTTCAGCCTCAGAATTCTTCTCAACATAGAGCTCCAGGTGGCCATCCGCGGAGAACTTGAGTTGAAGTCTATTTGCTGTCGCTCATCTTGGACCATTCTCCTATTTAACAGGGCAGAACCTTGAGTCCTTTGGGATTAAACACACGGGCAAAGGTCATAGCCCAGGGCCGTAGAACATATCAAAAGCAGAACTCAAATCCTGACTCCGATTTTCCTTTACTCTCCAAAACCACGCCACCCTAAACCTCAATGAAACAAGACTTCAAGGTTGCCTTATTAGAACTAAAAATCGGGTTTACCTTGTTGCTTTAAAATAAAGTCAAAGAAAACTCTTACAAATGAAATATAGGACTAGCAGACCACATTGAAAACTCAAATTTCCTTTGTGCCTCAGCAGAAGTCTTTTTCAAATGCCTTTCTTGCTTAGTTACAGCAGCCATAGAGAAAAAACATGAGAATTTCTAGAAATAAAATGGCAAAAATGAGGCAATTTCAGGCACTCTAGTTGAAGCATTTCAAGAACTAGAAAATCCATGGTGTGCAGTTATCAATTCAGAAGACAATATGTAAGTCCCAGAAAAAGTTATCAGCAAGTAACACCAGCCCCTTAAACAAGAACTGCCTAGCCTATGTGTCTGTAGAGATTGTCTTGGTGCTCTACACAGAGAAAGTGCTTGGAAGTAAACCTCAAGTGGAAATTAGTGGCTGGGTCCATATTAATATGAGTTAATTTTAAGCTATATAAAATAATGAAAAATTGCTGGTGTGTTAATACCCGTTATTGCTTATCTAATTGCCCCTGGAATCTACAAGTGAAGTCTGGTCTTAAAAAGCTCTTAAGTCATGAAGACATTTGTAATGGAAAAGTGAATGATGGGAATCAGGAGATAAAATGAGAGACAGTAAGATTTAATCAAAGCCGAAGGGTATTCTTCATGAAACTAGAGCTAAGAGAGGCTCTAAAAGAGGCAATTAAAGAATTCTGATGGCCAGTTAAAGAAGGCTGAGAATTTAGAAGCAGGAGGCTGGGAGGCCAGTAAAGGGCTGTGACAAAAATCCCTATGAGAAATGATAAGTCTGAACAAATAAGCCAGTGGCAGGGAGGAGAGCTGTCAAGCAGAGGGTGCTAATATGAAAGTTTTGCTGAGGTAGAATCAACAGGATGTGACAGTAGGAATGGAGGGAGAGTGAGCAGTTGAGTAAGACTGTGGGGGATAGTGGCTTCCTTAACACAATTGTTTCCATCTGTAGCCAGCTGTGGCCTTGCGAGTGTATGGCTGTCCCCATCATGGCAGAGCAGCCTGCAATCCTCAGCTGTTTGTGCCACAACCCTGGTTTCTTAGCAACTGTGCCTTCATTACTGCTCCCCCAGGTCATTTACAGGTGCCAGGCAGGGCTGGGGAGGGCTGAGCCGGCCTCTCCCAGTCTCATGGGAGGGTTTCATTGGGTCTGTTTCCCGAAGACCAACCTGCTTAAAGGTAATGCGCATTGGTCGGGAAGGCAGATCTTCAGCCCTCGGAAGCGGATGTTGACGTCATAAAGTTCCACCCTCGTCTGGGATCCTCATTCACCTGAAAACAGTCAAGAGTTGGAAAAATTGGGTGATGACAAGGGCCTGGTCAGATGTCTTCAAAAGGAGATCGATTCAATAAACAGCCTCTTATCTGCCGTGGTTACTTTACTCCTTCACATCCCTGATCAAATCCAGTCAGAGATGGGAACGTACCCCTTTCCTTGGTGGAGGATTGGGGAGCCAAGCTTCAAAATGTGGGTACAGAAGGGAGAGACCCAGTTGGGAAGCTATGAAGACATCAGGAAGGTTGAGAAACCTCTCTGAACCTTAGATCCCACATCTGAAAGTGAGTGTAGTAATTCACCGATCTCACAGGGCTATTGAAAGAATAACATAGGCTAATGACCCAATAAAACTCTCTGAAAAGAGTTCGCATTGTTACGACATCACCAGCCCCTGGTGTTCCTCCAGCCCGCCAGCATCCCGGATCACCCTTCTCTACAACATCGTGGAGAATGGCTCAAACCCTCAGCCCACTTTTTGTGTTGAACTTAATGACCAGCCCCCAGTAGTTCTGAGGTTCTCAGGAGAAGGGACCAAGCTCACCTGGTCACTTCTTGTGAAGTTTTTCTGCTCCTGTAGAGTGGACAGATTCTAAAAATCTAAAAATGTCCATGCTCTTTCTACACATCTTCGTATCACACTGAACTGGCCCTCAATTCTTTCTTTATTTCCCCCAAGCACCCAACCGCAAGAATTGGAAGTATATTGCAGACTTTCCCTGAAGGTTTGGGGTGAGGGAGGGGAGTTACAGTGCAAAACCAGCCAAGTGACAAGTGTGAGATGGACAGTGGACATCACTGTCCTGGTATTTATGGACCATTCCTCATCCCAGGAAATTCCTCTCTGGCCACACCCCCCGAGGCTCTGGTCACCACCCTTCACCTTCTCAGGGCTCTCCCTCCCTAGACCCTGCCCACATCTCCCTTCTGCTCTGTTCCTGGACCCCTCGCCTTCTTTTTCTATGGACTGCTAGAAATGCAAGATTCTGTCACATCACACTAAAGTGCAGCACCAAGAAGTCCTCTCTTATTTCACCATCATTCATCCGGGCTCTGCTGGGGGAGGCACCCCATTTTGGAAACAAAATGTCCATCAAGGCATTTTTCTAGACAATAGAACCTTCGAATCCCTGCGATTAATTTTGCCGTACCTCTAGAAAGCTGAAAGTCTGCAGCCAGCTTTTCTTTAAAATAGTCATAACATCCCTTCCTGCTCTGCCCTACTGACGTCAAAGCTTTTAGTGAAATCTTTTCCTTGGTCTTCTCTCCTGCCACAGGTAACCCACCGTACTCACCTAGAACCACATTCTACCAAGACAGGAGAACACAATGATAAAGAGAATCTCTAGGGTGTACCTCTCCTTTGTCACTAGAGGAAGCTGGGGCTCAGACAGGGAACATGTCTTGCCCTAGGTGGCTCAGCAATTTAATGGCAGAATCAGGGCCAGAACTCAGACCTGGGAGAGCCAGTTTGGTGTCCCGTCCACCTCTCCAGTGGTTTCCACACTTAAGCGTACATGGGAATCACCTGGGACAGTTTCGCGACAGGAGATTCTGATTCAGTGAGCGTGTATTGGTTAGAGAGCTTTGGCTGCAAGTAACGGAAAGTCCCACTCAAACAATAAAGGAGTTCATTATCTCACATAACAGGAAGGCCACAGAGAGGTCACGCCCAGGGGAGGTTGATTCAGCCTCTCAGTGATGTCATCAAGAACCCAGGTTCTTTCCATCTCCTCTCTCTGCCCTCTTCCGTGTTGGCTTCACCCCCAGGCAGTCACAAATGGCTGTAGCGGCAGTTCTGGTACAACATTCAGAGTCAAGAGCATCCAGAGGAAGAAGAAAGGCCATCTGTTCCCACGGTTTTTTCTTAGGAAAGAGGAAATTTGTTCTGGAGCTTTCAACAGGCTTCCCTTTACCTCTTGCTGGATCACACTGGGTCAAATGCCCATTCTTGAAGCCATCACGGGCAGGAAAACAGCAATTCCTTGGAAGTAGTCAGATTATATCTAAGATTAGTTTTCTCAGAGTTTTATGACGACATGGGAGAGGGGTGTACAATTGAACCACAAAATCTTGATTCTTTTAGGAAAGAGAAGAGGATGGGAGCAGAGCTGAGATGGATGCTAGATAAACAGCCAGGAGTGTCCAATTCTAAGGGTCCAAGTTAGAACCCAAGGATGTCCCTTCTAGAAGCTTCCAGATGATTCATGAACCACACTCGGAGAATCTTGGCCCACTCCATGCTGCATGTGTAAGTAATCATTCACATTCACTCCTTCACCCCATGCTAGAGGTAGAAATTCCAGAAACCACCACAGGCTGAGGAGGGAATTTTTGAAGTCCCAGAACCTTTGGGTAGGTTCATGTCAAACCAACTCTAAGGGTCATTTCAGTTTCTTAAAATGACCTTTTCCCAGGTTCCTCCTCACAATCCCAGCTCTCTTGACAGCTACAAAGCTGTTCCCCACTTCTCACAGAAGCCCATCAGTCATCACAGAGGGTCCCGGCTTTGTTTACACTCCCAAGTTCTGGTCCTGTCTTGTAAATTACTTCAGTTACTAGCTTGGCCACGGGAAGATGAAGACCCTTAATGGCAACGCTACTAGGCACTGAAGCAGACACCACTGAATTGTTTTTGGAGGTCCAGGAAAAATCCTTTGGGTCCCCAAGAGCCAGAGGGAAGAATGCTTTTCAGGAGAACATCAGGTTTCAGTAAATTGTATCAGACCCCAAGCACTTCCCCGACTGGTTGAGCCCCCATTGCCATCACATTTAGCTCTGTGTTTTGAACTTATCTGTTTATTTGTTTGTCTAGATTTGGGGCTCAGTGAAGGCAGATACCGTGCCCTTCTCCCCTCTTGGCCTCTGTAACAGCTCTTCCCTCTTCCCAGGATGCTGTCCCCTGAACCCCCTTCCCCTGTTTCCATCCCCTGGCCCTCTCCAAGACTCCTTAGAGCACCTACTTGGAGTTGGCTTCCTCCGGGAAGCCTTCCCAGACTTCCAAGGACTGGTGAGCCTTTTCAGTGCCTCCAACACATTCTGTACTTGTGCTTAACACTTACCTCACTACCTCCCTGTATTTTGATTTCCTGGCTCCCTGTGACTCTTTTAAACTCGGTCCAAACCTCAGTTATACAGCCAGTGATTTCTGTGAGTTCTCTCAGCTTCCTCCTGCTTCTCTCTGCCGCTCAGTCCCCACCTATGCCAGTGCTTCTGTTTTTGCCCCTGAGGAGACTGATGCAAAAGGTCCCAGAGCGCCCAGGAACTGGACTTCCAGTCCGCATCCCTCGGGATTCTTGTAATCTGGGAAATCTAAGCGGCACTGACTCGGGCCCCACTCCTGGGTTTCATTTCCATGCTAAGAACTCTTCTAGAGGATTCAGAAGTCTCAGGAAATGCCAGCTTATTTTCTCATCTCAACCCCCAAAAAGACAATTATGTACAGTACTTAAAAAAAAGAGAGAGAGAGAGATGTTTAAATGAGCAGTCAATTATACATGTGGCGCAAGACGTAACTGGAGATTTTCATAGCAGCATTCTCTACAATCAACATCAAAATCAACCTAAATGTCCACCAATAGGGAACTGGTTAAATATTGTACATTTTAACCACACAGGGGAATTTTAAACAGCCATTAAAATTGATGAGATATTTCTAAATTTGTTGACCCAGAAAAAGGACCATGGTATAATGCTGAGTAAAAAAGCAGGTTATAGAATAAGAGAACAAGAAGTATGCGATCTCATTTGCATAGAAGTGGGTGTGGGTGTATAAGTGTGTATGTGTGAGAGTGTATATGTGTATAGGAAAGTATTATGATTGTGTGTACATGTGTGAAAGCGTGTGTATGAGTGTGTGGGGGTGTATATGTGTGTATAAGTACTGTTTGAGTGCATGTGTGTTTGAAAAAGTATTGTGAGTGTGTGTGTGGGGGAGAGTGCATGTGTGTGTCTGTGAACGTCCATTTAGAAATATCCGGAAGAACGTTTATCAAAATGTTAACAGTGATTATCTCTGGGTAGTAGGAGTTCGGGAGATTTTTTTCTCTCCTCTTTTCCTCTTTCTATATATTCTTCTCTCTATTTATATTTCTCAGTACTGCATGAATTTTGGTTTTGTAATGAGCATATACGGTTTTTACAGTGGAGGCGGGCTCTTTCCTAGTTTTTGTGACTTTCAAGGAAAGCCTTGATCAGGGACAGGAGCCACCGAGAAGCCACCACCCCCCCCCACCCCTTGGCCTTCCTGATGGGAAAAGAGAAAAGGGTCATGAGCTGGCTGCCTATAAATAAACTTGGCTTCTTTTTTTAAACATTTTGTGCCTGCAGCCGAGAGTCACTCTCTCTGCTTAAAAGAATTGGAAACTACAGACCCCCTCCCCAGCCCCAGTGGGGGCATTTGCCCCAATTTTCCACTCCTTGGATGTCTCTTTGCCCACACAAAGCAGGGATTTTTTCAATAGCATCTAGAAACTTCTGGGAGGATCTGTGGCTAGCTAAGCAATTTCTTCATGAATCCTTCATGAGAAGGAATGGTCCTCTCCCCTGAGACTGGTGCTGTGGCTGCCAGACTCCTTTCAAAGTCTTCAGACACCATCTCTTAATCGGCTACCCATATGGAAATTCTGGTTTAGAACCATCAGTCTCCCCCAGTCTGGGGCCTTCCAGAAGGGTACAGCTCAAAGCCTGCCCACCGCCATCCCTAATCCTTTGAGCACAGTGGGATGGATATGGACCACAAGGGAAAGAAATGAAAAAAAGTCCTTTGGAGATATCTAGGGGCTGGAGCCATCGGCACCAAAAAGGCTCACTTGTAACTCATGGAGTTCTGCCGACAGTTCCAGCAGGTTCACCCTTAAAATGGTGCTAATTAAGCATGGCCAGGGACACGTGCGAACGAGGTAAGGAACAGCCAGTAAGTAGCTCTAAAGCTGTGACCCTCTTTCTGGAGGAAGATGTCAAAAGCGCGGATGAAATCACTTAGAAAGGTGCAAGGTGAGCCGCCCGAGCCTGACTTTGGCAAAACCTTGGCTCTTTCAACTTGAAAGGATGTGGTTGAGGGATAATTGCGTGGGCCAAATGTACTGCCCTCCTTGAACTGCTTTCCCGCACCCCTTGATTCAGACCATCAGCAAAACCTCTTGGCCCTGGCTTTGAAATAGATTCCAAGCCTCTTGTATTAGGCCAGGATCAACAGAGAAGCAAAATCAGGAGGCTGGAGAGATAGTGGGCCGTTAAATTGATTTCAACTGTGTGTTCAGAGGATGGCCAGTCTGCTGAGGCCTTGGGGGAAACAGGAGATGCCCATAGCAGAACAGCCTTTATTAAACTCACAGGTCCTAGAGAGAGGGTCATC